GCCCCCGTTGCAACGCTTCCCACCCTCCTCGATTCATGTAGAGATCAGCTCTCTCGATGCTTTCTCGCGTGTTTTGTCTTCTTTGATCGCCCTGTCTCGCACCACATCCGACGTTTATGTGGGTTAACGCCTTAATTTTAGCGTTTACAGTGATTTCTCTTGCTCTCCTTTTCACTTTTAGTTTCTTCCGCAGCTTAGTTATCACTAAAAAGCGCCCTTATACACCAGTTTTATACCAGGAGCTTGCTTTTAAGGAATATAAATTCGATCCAAAAATAGAAAGTAGACCATGCATTTCGAACCTCGCCTATCAAGTTTTTATCGCTGCTTTACTCAGTGAGAATGGTCGAGAAACGAAGATAAAAGGCAAGCTTTAGAATTAGCCCGAAAGCAGTTTTATCGGTTTCATCGTGCACTGCCACATGCTTTTCCAATAGATAGTAATTTCTGTAATTCCAGAAATTCCGGAGATTGCAAAATTACGCATGTAACACGTTCACCCTCAAATATTTCGAACTTTTTCTTTCGATTAGAAGTAACAAGCTCAACTTCATCGGAAAACAAAGTAATCAAAGCACCTGGGGTACTTTGACTTTCAATTTTTCTATATAGATAGAAACGTAATTGACCGGAGATTAGAAGGCGTTCAATATTCCACATTTATTTCCCCTCTCATCTAATATAAGCAGAGAAGTGCATTAATTCAGTCAGAAATCGTCCTCCTACTCTCCCGACGCGCCTTGCGAACGGCTGATATTATAATACAGTGCGTTTCATATTGTAAGGTCACTCTAAAATTTTGCATTCCCGGGAGAAGCAGCAGAACTGGAATTTATTACCAGCTGATTCCTCACTATGAAAAACCCTATATCGCAAATTTTGGCGGGAGCAGCTTTTCTTCTAACTTTTTTTTATAATTATTTTTTTTGTTTTTGCACCGTTTCACAATTATAAGGTCACCCTGTGAAGAACAATTACCTATGATTAAAGGCAAAGTTCGGGCTCAGACCCACCTAAGAAGCCCTTACCATGGCTAGAAGTGCTGGGTACGCAAGTGCAAAGGTAGCGCCACCTTTCTACATCGAAACGCGTCACTAGAACCCTAGGCGCCATGGACTTCTAACAGACTCCACCAAACATAACATGGTCCGCCCACCGATCGATGTCTTGTCTGCGTCTCTACCACTCTCTGCGCTCACATTATCTCTCATCCCTCCCTGTCTTTTGAACTTCTCCACAGCATGAGCAAAATGCTCGTATTTCCTGTGTATTTCAGGATTTTCTTTCCTTTTTTCTCCACTGGCGGTCCACCTCCCATCCCTACTTTCACATTTGAGTGGAATCAACCCATCAATTTAATCCTGATTCTTGCCTTTAATGACCAGCAATAATCGGTCGCGACCTCCAGGAAGTATGAGACAGAGATTATCAACTCTTGCTTCTGATGTCAATCTTACACTATAATTACAAAACGTCGCAGAAACTGAAAACAATCGTAAAAAGGATAGAAACTTGTTGATGCCATACATGATAACGAGTTCGAAATACTCGCCTTAACTGCATTGCAGCGCCGCGTGCAATGCGCCGGTACTGCACGAAACTCTCCCTATCTGACATTTGTGCACGGCCTGGTATGCACATTAATTGTAAGCTCCCCTCACATCTTTTTTCATTGCTTTGGCACATGGCTGCTCCCCATCCTCAATTTCAAGACACTTTTGGAACTTCAGTTTGCACAACCAGTTGCTTCCAGTTTGAACCCTCATGAATCTGTTGCAATAAACTCCAATGATTACTAGTTACTGGATATATTTTCTGATGAGAAGCCGAGCAAAAATAGTAAGAAGCGAAAGAAAAAAGGAGAAAAAGTAGAACAAAGAAAGGACAAAGCAATACGTTGCCAGCCCAATGGGGAGGTTGCAGTTGAGACTATGTGGGATCCTGTGCGAGATGTATGTCCTGTCAGGAATTCCACAACATTGTCCCCCGAATCGCGAAGATTTGTCGCATGCGCCGGATATGCACGCAGGTAATGCAGCTATGTCACATGTGTGACATGAGCCGAAATCAGCGCAGACGTCAATGTGTGACATAGGTGAAGTGGGCAGCGCACAATCCGACATTGTGGATTCACGAACCCAAGGCGTTGTGAACGGGGCCTCCATACCATGTACCACTCCACCGATAGCCAGTCCGCCAGCCTCAGGCAGCAGTCGTATCGAACTGATCTCGTCGGCTCTGCTCTAACAGCAAAACGCATAAGCCTGTGCTCACCCTTAACAGCCAGAACGCGTCGCCCATTAAGGCGGCCACTCTGTCGCGTCGATGCATCGGCTTAGCCTGCAGCAACCTGCAGATGTTCGCTTGCCGCCAGCCAGCTCTCTGTCTGGGCCCTAACCATTGTTAAGCTTGCACTCATACCTCTCTCCTTCGCGATTAATCCTCTCATGTCAGTCCGCCATTACGCAGGTGAAAAGTCCTCCAGCTAACAGCGTCTTTCAATAGACTTTCATTTCACTGTTCTTCTTCACTGCGCTGAGTGATGGCGGGAAGGTCGCGGAATCCCCGCGATTGCCGTGGCATTGTGTGTGACGATCGAATGCAATATCCACAGCCGGGAGAGCGTGCAAGCCAACAGGCGAAAATCCGCCTGACATCCTCGTCGACGAATCCTCTACTGATTTTCACCCTGCTGCTGGCCCACTTCACACTATTACTTCTCGTATTTATCTCATCATTCTTGTGACTTCGAAATGAATTTTGAAGGTGCCTAACAGTTCACGAGTATTCACGTCCTAAAAATATGGTAGCGATCAATTATAACTCATACCAAACTTCGTATAATGTATGCTATACGAAGTAATGTCCAGTGTTGCAGGCTAACGATGACCTCAGCTGATCGAGGCACTCTTCTCGTCATACTTTTATCTCTAATCGCTTCGTGTATGAGGTAATATTGATACAAATTGATGATTTTATTACACGTAGAAGATGTTTTGATATAAGAATTTTCAGTCAGTTATCTCAAACTTCTGGGACGCAATCAAATACCATTGTCAGTCAATTATTAGGAAATTATCCCAGGTAACATTACGTCTTTACCATTGCTTACACATTAGGACTACCTATCTTAACAAATAGGAGTTTTACAACATGAAAGGAATGCATGTTCGTCACTAAAACTGCTCCTGATCTCTCATCCTGTCTCAACTGTCGTGTTTAGATACGCGTTGGGTCCCGCATTTGTGATCTCCGGGAAGGGCCGGGTTGGAATCTTAGGTTGAGTAAGGTTGTTCTGTGGGTGTCTGTCACTCCAAGTAGATTCCAGTTCCAGCCCCCCCTTCTTTCCGCGCTCGAGACACGTTTTGACGAAAAAGTGGCGGAGTTAGCGCTGTGTCAACTGGTCTCACAGGGGGTCTTCAGGGCAAGCCGCGCTTTTGGAAACGGTTTCTTGCATATTGTAGGGACGCGCATGTGTGGACCACAAAACCATGTTTCGTTTTCGCTGAACGGTTTTAGTAGTATAAAAAAATGGTGAATGATACCTCGAATGGTTCGATCCCCCGCGGCGACTAAATTTTGCAATCAAGTTGCTTGGTTGCCTCAAAATGATCCCTGACGATGAATATGACCCTTGATTTTGACATTTAGTGCGATTTGGCACCAATTCGTAGGCGCCAACCCAAATGCAAAATTTAGTCGCCACGGGGATCGAACCATTAACAGTACCTTATGCTTCTTTTTTGGTACTGCTAAACCGTTCAGCGAAAAATGAAACATGGTTTTGTGTTCTCCTAAAATGCATCCCTACAATATGCAAGAAACCGCTTTTGAAAAAGCGTGCTTGCCTGAAAGACCCCCTTGTCAGAATCAAATACTATAGGAACGACCATGATGGGGAGGGGATAGCATTGGGGGAGCCTTCTTCCCATCCCTCTACCTCCGTGCACCCTTTCCAGGCCTCTTCTGTCACTGCCGACGTGACCATTCAGGTCACCTGCTATGGTCAGGTAATCGCCTTCCGGAATCGATCTGATGGCTTCGTCAGGCTCAGATAGAACTCGTCCTTCTCACTTTCGGGGCATCCGGCTTGCGGTGCGTACACGGAGAGTATGGTCCAGTACCCCTCCTTCGTGTCTATCCTCACAGCCATGATCCGATCGCTGATCCTGTTCACATAGTCCTTGAGCGACTCCGCTACCGCTATGGCCACACCGTTCCGCTTGGTGTCTTCTCCATTGTAGTAGAGTTTGACACCTTCCCCGATTTCCCTGGCCTTAGCACCTTTCCATCGCGTCTCCTGAAGGCATAGGACTTGGATATTCCTGCGCGTCATCAGATCAGCAACCTCTCGGGACTTCCCAGTTAGCGATCCTACGTTCAGAGTCCCAATTCGAACTAGCTTCTTTGGCCGAGGCCGTTCACTCCTCGGTAGCCCTCGCATACTGACCACAGAACTCGGGCGGGGGTTCTGCGCGCCACTTCCGGGTGACGTCCTAGCTTTAACACTGATTCTTTTGCGACTTTTGACATGGTTGGTGTGACGGTCTTCATCAGCCGGCCTGTCAACCTGAGCCTGACGCCGGTTCCACTGCCAGAACTACTGCTCATATACCAAAAGGCTCTCTTAGCACCGCTTTGCCCAAACTAGCAGACTCTCGAGGAATTTTTCAAGAACTGAACTCAACAATCAAGAAGTCCATTCTTTTCAATGATAGCAACGCGCATGATAAAACTTATCCAGTATGAATGGCTCAAAAGTTTTCGGCGCGACTAGGTAGAAGTGGTAATTGTGCTATAACGGTAGACAATGCACTGCTTGTGAAGGAAAAAGAAATGAGCCATCCACAGCACTGGTTTTGGGCAGCCTAATAAGAAGAGTTTAGAAGCGAGAGTGAAAGGACGAGGGTGATGCCGACAACGGCTTCGTTTTCGCTGCTAAGTCCACCACTGATCAGGTGTGGACCTAACTCTGCAGCAAAAAAACTGGTGAAACTCCAGTTCGGACTTGATTGTGCTGCGAAGAAGTGGAAAAAATTCTTACAGATTACGTCTGAGTCGGGCTGCAATCATCAACCTGCTCCGCGAACGCGGAGTTGGGTTCTTATTCGAGCGTAAATGCGCATGAGAGCTTTAGGAGCAATGTTTACTCAACCGCATACCTGAAGGACTGATTATCGTGTATTTTCAGGTATCACGACCCTACCGATGAACAATTGTTGACGATTTGGAGGAAAGCATTACAACGAGCTCAGTAAGTTTCACATTTGCTACGAATGCATTACGCATTGATTACAACTACACAAATATGATCGCTTCCTTTTAGAATGATGGAGGAAATATCAGCCAAGAGAAAAACCCACAAATGTCTCAGCTCTTCGTGTGCTTTATTATCATACGCTGAGAGACCGAGGCTCTGGACAGTGGTGCGAAGAGGCTAACATATCAAATGTCACTTTACGGTCGAAAGAAAAGACAACATTTATATATAACTGGAATCGCGTTGATTCGGTCCATTAAATTCACCGATACAGTTATTGGTTTGGCATATTCCAAACGGCCGAGAGCGAAGGAAGGTACATCAAAAAATACTGGTTACAAAAAAAACACTTAACGGTTTTCATGTAACGATGGGACGATAAAAGCATAAAACATTAGGAATTCGTGCTGTCCATTCCTGATTGCGTTTTCGCCGTAATTCTGTGCTTGTCCGAAATTTTATTGCACCTCACAATTCACTTGTTGTTGGTAGTTGGGGCACTTGCGCAGAGTAGAGGTACAGTGCTCATGCATGTCGGTACTAAACCAGGAACTCATCCTAATATGTATCGAGCTAACTGCTATTGACTGGTGATTGAACCACGACGTCATACTTTGCGATTCGATTAGCGATTCGCTCGATTCGCTAGCACTTCGCCAGCGATTCGCCAGTGCTCTCGATTTCGCTGGCGAATCGAGCGAATCGCTAAACGAATCGCAAAGTATGACGTCGGCCTAACTGTGGTGATTGAACCACTCGATTTCGCTGCGTGGTAGACATACACCCTCTATTTCGGAAAATGAAAGAGCGTCGAGTGCAGACCACACACCACAAGTGACGACGCCAAGAAAAAAGTGGCTTTTCTTTTCTTTTTTCTTGGCCGTCGTCACTTGTGGTGTGTGGTCTGCACTCGACGCAGTGTCTGGTGTCTGGCCTTGTGAGGGAGACGCAGAGGAGCAAAAGGATTACATGTCCCAAGACCGGCCGCCTCCCCTGTATAACAAAACACTTGCCGGATCCTGTTGATATACGGTAGTCAGGTTTCATCGTGTAACAAAAGTGGTAGTAAGCAGCATTTCGCTAAGGAATGGCAAACTTGATTGAGCTGGAATGCCGACTCAAGCAGCAGTCGACTACACCATGGGATCTGCAGACAGCATCGCTGTAGTGTAATTTATTTTTCACAATACATTTGCAAAGCCTGCACATGAGAAATCATAGAGGAAACTGGAAAATATCAATATGATGATGATTTAAATCAACACAGTAAGATTTTCACAGCAAAGTTTAGCCACCGACTCAATATCACCGTGAAAAGTATATTCCACATAGGGGTACAACATTCGTTAACTAAACCAATTATAATTGGCTTTATATTTGTGATGAAAGTTAAAAAATATCTTCACATACAAATTGAAACACTGGAACACTGTACCGATATTCGATCGGTAGTAAAGACAGCTGTTTACATTATAGAGAACCCAAATTCATGATTAATAAGTCACAAGTCCCAATGCTCTCATGCGTTGTGACTAAAACTGCTTCGATCCCGAAAGCACTTACATTACTGTACAAATATCTTTCCCATCGGCATTTCTTCTTTTCAGGACCACAGAACGGCACAGGTGCTCCACAGCCTAGAATTTTCTACCTTGAATAGTCTCTATGTAGATACGCGCAACCCTGATTCCTTGACGAACAGAGTTTTTACGCCTGTGAATAATTCTAATAGTGAATTTCTAATAGTCAAGCGAAAGTGTTCAACAGTCTTCGTTTTGCTGAGCAAAAGTAGCGTTCAAATTTACAAGATTCCACGCCCAATGGGAACCAGGCCCACGATACATACCTAGCTGACGGACGTCTCCTATAAGCAACGTACCAGAAATAACGAAGGGCTGGCCATAACAAGAAAAGAAGCGTAGCCCAGAAAGACGCCTTTTCAGCGGATTATCTCGAGTGAAAAATGTAAGAATTGTTTCTAATCATCTACCTGCTGTTATCTCTCTACTCAATAAAATTTCGTGACGGCAACTTGCACTTTTCTCTGAACACATTTAGAAGAATTTGGCCAAAAAAATGCTTCTGGAGGATTCCTGTGCGCTCTTGAACTGATTGCTCATATCTGCCATAATTTTTTTTTATGTTTCAAGACCTTTTTAATTCCACAATTGTTTCATTGTGTTTTTTTTTTACATATCTTTAAAATCATTCACTTCATTGGACTTTTGTGGGTTCATGCCCATAGCTGGCTTTTTGTTATGTACGGTTAGTCCACGTGGGCTCACGTCTACGTCAATAAATAAATAAATAAATAAATAAAATACCGGGGGCGAGAATTGCCAATCCTGAGGCAGACGTCATAGATTTGTCTCCAAATCAGTGGCGACGAATGTTGCGAGCTGTCTTCTCGCCCATTTCTCGGGTCACGTATCTTTGTGAGATCCCATCAATCACATTAGCAAGCAGGACGCATGGTTTCTAGACGAGAAAGATTCACAGGTAGTATTCGAAAACTCTGCCCAATGTTTGCTCAAGGCCTAATAATTTCACCAAAATCCAGTGCCCAATTGACTCAGCTCCTCCTTGAATAATTAAATTATGTCTAGAACCATGCTAGCTGACGATGAATTGACATCGCCGCAAGAAGACTGGCAGAATCCGAACAAGAGTATAGCAATATCGCCGCGTCCGCTGCCCTCATGTACGACGTGTGCGCAATCAAATGATCGTCCTGAATCTAGACAATTACGCTCTGTATTCAATCCATGATCACAATTATCGTAGTTTCACCTCGAATTCTGCGTCTATAAGATCGATGACAAACGTTCGGTGACGAGCTTCCACAGTCTGAAACCATGCATATAATCTTTTCATAGCAATCGAACGTGGTAGTCTCGGGACTACGCTAAATTTAGCCAAACTAAGACGGTCGCGCTCAAATACGAGCTAGCACGTTCCCTTACATGAAGCGAAATCCTTAACTTCTCTTGAAAAACGTACCCTATGTTTGGTTGATGTGATTGTAACAGTACTCCAATTCGAAGGAATCTAATAACTCAAAAAAATGCAAGTAACAAAGGAAATCACCAAAAACACAAAACAGACACAAGTTACTCACTATGCTCGTCATGTGTGCAAATCTGTATTCGGAATGATTGTTTTTTCCACCAAGACGCATTCTTTCTGTGAGACCTAATGGGGCGATACCATGCCGACCTTCACATGATAGCGTGGCAATGTCAAGCTGGAAGAAAACACTTGTAAACCACTTGAAAGCTGTGGACACCCGGAAACGAGGCTTAGCAAACAAAAATATGAAAGGCTTACGTTACTATACTTAACAAAATTATGGTGCATTGTTATTGATGACGCCCTAGCAAACTTTACCGGCTCCCCCACTTTCTTCACGATTTCGGGAGCGGCCGTGGCGAGCGCGATTATGATGGAGTGCTTTCAAACCTACCCGCACAGTTCGCGCGCACTACCAAACAGAATCATAAATTTAATAGAAAAGATGTTGTGTTTTATGTAATTTTAATTGTTAATTCTAATTGCTAATTCTTGTAAATGAATGTTTTATTATATTACCGACTACCAACTCGTCCGCGCTCGCCGCGGCCACGCCCCAAATCGCAGGGGAAGTGGGGGAGCCAGCTTTACCACTAGCAAAATAATCGTGTTAAATGTAAACAAAAAGGGTAAATTAAAAAAAACAGAGTCACGCAAAACTACATCAATCAGCTGTTTTTCGAATCATCTTAAACAGATAAAGACAAACCAAGGAGGTTTTTCCAACACCCCTTCCGCCGAAAACTGCAATAGCTATTTCTTCGCCTGGATGTATTCTCTCGAATGTGCGACCAAAACCAGAGTATACGCACAATGGACCACACGACTGCTCGCTTTTGTCGCTTCCACGCGTTGGATGAACTAAAATTTCACAGGTTATAAGATCTGGGCAATTTTATTCAACGTCAAAGCCTTGCTTACGCAGTCTGAAAGGGAAAAACCGCTTCCATCTGAACCTTTTCGTTTTACTCGTATCTGTAAAAAGAACATTGACAAGCGAGATTATGAAAATCTTCTTCATAACCACCTCCTTCAGTGGATACCAGTGGTTCCGTAGGGATCGAGACAGGCTCCTCACTAGCCGGTGATACCATTCTGTCTTCATTCTCGAATCCACTATTCTCCAACGGCTCTAAAGAACACATTTGTTAATTTCCAACTCATGAGGTCCTTACGTCAACATATAGAAACCTTGTATTTCTCGTCTCCGTTGGCGCCGGCTCACTGATTTGCGGATGGCACAAATACTTCGACGGAAAAATGATGCTCGCTAAATATTACACATTGACTAGCTATAACAATAAAAATAATCACGCACATATTTACCCACTAATCATGGATGCCTCAAGAATATTCCGTTTTCCGTAGTGGAACACTCCATGTGACGCTGCCACCAGAGTCAACCCTGCGTTGCGCAGTTCTTCAACGGCCACGTTGCGCAGTTTCGCCCGATTAGACACGTTCTCTCGCGCGAACATTCACACTCGCATGCTCGAGCCGTCTGCGTCTCCGCCCATACAGCGTGCGTTGAGGATCTCTCAACGTGCCGTTGCGAACTGCGCAACGCAGGGTTGACTCTGTGCCCACTTAGCCATCAGTCCTATTGATAGGATCGGAATCGCTCCATTACGATATGTTCTATCGCACCTCAATCCCAAAAGCTCGACTGTAATCAGAGGAATAAAACCGGTGAGCTGGGTGACGGCGAACACAGATGAATCGCAATTAAGCTGAAACCTTGCCAATTCGGAATGTGTTTACATATGTGCTGAATGCCTATCACGTTGACAGTGTCTGCATTTCGCCTTCTTTCGTTTTTTTGCTATATTTTACGCCACCCATCTCCATACCCCGCATTCAGTTCGCGAGGCAACAAGTGTACCAGGTTCGAGGTTTTTTTATTGGACTAATATGTAAACACGGCCTTCACTTGTTGAAGGTAAAGAGGGTAGGCCGTTTTAGGCGGATGGAGGGGCGGAAGAATGATGCTGGGCATGCACGAATGACGCCATGACGTGCGATGGAGTGAGTGAAGAAGATCGTAAGGTAGATACGAAGGGTATAGGGATGTAAAGAGAATAAACACTTCATGCACTCCTGTCCCGTGCCACTAACTCACCTATCTCAGTTTACACATTTTTTGTAAATTTCTTACTCACAGCTCTCACTCCGCCCAGGGGTGGGAGAGAATTCGTAAATTGGTTTGAAATTATGATGGGAAAATAAAATCACAAACTTTGAATGGGCTTGCCAATGCTAGTTCAGAATCTCGGAATCGTACATGGAGGTCAGATGAACATCGCGCCCTGAAAAAATCCCTGAAAAAATGCAATAGAACACACAGTACAAAGCAGTGATTGCAAATGGAATCCTCAAACTGGTTATACCTGATACACTTTTATGCCCGTCCCGGAAGTAGCGTCGTCGAAAGAGCACTGGCTTTGCATCACAAATAGGATTTTCTTCACTGACGTCCAAATCTACTCGAGGTAAAGAGCCTACAGACCGGTAGCTAGCTTCACGACTCGATGCAGGAAGCGCTTCAGTTGAAGAGCCAGGCCTAAAAACGGGATGATTCGCTACTATTTGTGTCGTTTACTACAGGTCGTGATCACAAAATCCCCATTTTTTGAAATGGAACTTGTTGAGCGTGAAATTAGAAGATCATCGTAATTTTGAATACCGTTTGCTGTGTACTAGGATGTCCCCCGTCCCTTCGCCTCAAATACACTTGAGCCAAGGTGACAGCTAAAAAATATAAATTCCTGATGAGTATGCTAATCAACGATCCCTAATTTCATGGACGACAATTAAATGAGGTAAAAAAGTCGTAAGGCCTTAAGAATACTACTACATTATTATAAAGTACTCAAATTATGCATACCCATCCACAACTATTTCTGGTCCGATTATGGAAAACCTCGTACGTCTACGGCTTCCTCTAAGAACTTGCCGACGTAAAATAGCGTTGAGACTCTGAAAGAACAGAAAATATTCCTTAGACCGACGTCACAGTCGGCGACGGACAAGCGATGGAGCGATCGCGATCGCTCCATCGCTTGTCCGTCGCTTGCCAATCGCTCTCCGAGAGCGATTGGCAAGCGATTGCGCAATCGCTTGCAAAGTGCACAAGCGCCAAGAGCTCTTGGTCGAGCGATTGCAACGCGATGGATAAGACCGACGTCATAGTCGGCGACGGACCAAGCGATGGAGCGATCGCGATCGCTCCATCGCTTGTCCGTCGCTTGCCAATCGCTCTCGGTCGAGCGATTGGCAAGCGATTGCGCAATCGCTTTC